ACCATCCCATCCCATGCACCGGGGACTCCGGTTCCCATCATCCCCAGATGCTTGGTTTCACAGCTGCCTGCCCTTTAAGCAGCTGCTGGTAGCCTTGCCTTTCTGCTGATCTCCCCCCCTTTTTCCCCCTCTCCCACCAAGCAATCTCAATGCATAGTCAGGGTTGCGTCTTGTGACTTTCATAACCCATAATCTAATTAGGCTCTCTCTCTCTCCCTTAAAGCGCTTTATTTGGTTTTCCCTTGTTCAGTTGCTGATCTGGTTCTTCTTAGAGGTGTGTGTGTGTGGGGGGGGGTTGTGGTTGTCTTGAGCTGTATTTTAGCATCGCCAAGCAAAATGTTAGAAGTCTTGATCATTGATTGCACTGGCCCTTCCTCTGCCAGCCTGATCAACCTCCCCCATTCCCCGTTCTCCTACCTTGTGATTTGTTTCCTGTAACCTTTTGTAATGAAATGTTCATTTAAAAGGGGGTGGGGGGTGGGAACCGGAGATGCAAAAGAACCAGAGTCTGCAGAATTTATTAGGTTTTTGGTTAAAACATGTATCTGTTATATAATACCAGACAATGCTTATATAATTTTGATTGACTGTGCCTGATGTTTTTGAATGATGATGATGATAAGGAGGAATAGGAGGAGGACATCCAGATTTGCCCTTGGAAGGGGTGGAGTTTCGAAAACTGGGGAGCCACCACCAAGAAGGCCCTGCCTCATGCACATGTGCCCTGCGCAGGGCGCCCTGCTTAGAGCATCATCCATTTTTTCTTCTTCCGTTCAGCTCCCGGAAGGCAGGTTACAGCTGACCCTCTACCAATACAAAACGTGTCCTTTCTGTAGCAAGGTGCGGGCGTTTCTCGATTACCACCAGCTGCCGTACGAGATTGTGGAGGTGAACCCCGTCATGAGGAAGGAGATTAAGTTCTCCGTGTACCGCAAGGTGCCGATTCTCCTTGCCAACACTGGGAACACCCTGGTAAGATTCCAGACTAACCAGGAACAGCTCGGCTTGGTGTTTTGGAAATCCAATCACCAGTTTTGAAGTAGTGTGGGAAGGAGGTTTGGCGGACTCTGGCAGCGGCTTTGCTGGATGGCTGTGCTGTTAAGGACGTGAAATTCCCATCAGCATTGTTTCGGTGTGGCTTTTACTCTTGGTTTTTTTTTTAGTATGGCATTTATTGGATTTTTTTAGTATTTGTATGCTCACCATTGTTAGCTTTGAATGTCATATTTTAATGATGCAGGCGAACTTGGGTCCTTTTAAAGGAGAAAGATGTGGCCAGGGGGCGAGTGAGATATTTTAAACAAACAAACAAACAAACAAATAAATAAAATCATCTTAATTTCTTTACCTTTCATTCCAGCTTTGAGTTGCCAAAATGATTATAATCAGCAGGGTTAATAAATAATTTATACCACATGTGGTTTTAATATCTCATCTATCTTTCTGTCTTACCGTGTTTCCCCGAAAATAAGACAGGGTTTTATATTAATTTTTGCTCCCAAAAATGCATTAGGGCTTATTTTCAGGGGATGTTTTATTTTACAGTCATGTCATCAATATCTAGTTGCTGGACAATGCTGCACAATGGTGGAGGGCGGGGTTTCACATAACTGGGGCTTGTATTATGAGGTAGGGCTTATATTACGAGCATCCTGAGAAATCCTACTAGGGCTTATTTTCAGGTTAGGTCTTATTTTCGGGGAAACAAGGTATCTATCCATTTATTTTTCTATATTGTCCATCTAATTATTTTGGATTTCTGTCTGTCTTTCTGTGTGTGAGCAGTGTTCTACAGATATTCTGTGCTAACACCTTGCATATCCATGCCCTATATTAAGAAAGAGAAGATATCAAAGCTGCAGCAAAAGATATCCAAAAAGAGAGAAAATAGACCAATTTTTTTTCCAGATTGAGTGTCCTAGGGATTTAAATCACCATGATTTTTATACAATTACTGTGATTTCATTTTCCACCCTCTCAGCAATTAAACGACTCGTCTGTGATCATCAGTGCAATTAAAACCTATCTCCTCTCCAGGTAAGGGACTGTTTCGACTTTCCCTGGTCCCCTTTGCTTGCTCCCTGAAGTTATGCAGATTTCTTTTCCTTGTTGTTAATCGCCCTGATTTTTGTTCCCTCAAAGACCTCTTCAGTAAACTATGTGGTTGTCTACTAATAGAGGATAAGCTTTATAGGGGGTTGGGAACTGGCAGTCTTTGGGCTAAGATCCAGCCCTTTGAAAGGTGTGTCTTGGCCCTCAGTGGGTCATGACCAGCAGTTAACGTTGACAGGTGTCGTTTGGAGCCTTCCTTCCCTCCAGTCCCTCTTTAAACTAACTCTAGTTCAGTTTAAGCATCAATATTCACTAGGAGAAAATGTTTACAAGGGGTGCATGTTAGTTAACTAGCCATGCTAGCAGAAAGGCATTCCGGTTTAGTAGCTGAAGGGATGGACAGAGACTCAAGAAATTCAAATCTTGGTCCTATCTTGAAACTCACAGAGTGATCAAGCCCGTCCTTATCTCTTTTTCAGCCCAAGTGACGTCTCAACCTGATTGGCTCAATCTACTGTCGTTTTATTACCCCCATAAAAGTAGAGGCTTTCAGAATAATAGGCAAGGGACCGAGAAAAGGTAGCCAAAATCCATCCAGATGCCCTGACCGGTATTGGAATCTCATGCGTTTTTATTTTTGTCTCTGCAGGAAAAGCTTGGAAGAGATTGTATCCTTTTACCCTGCCATGAAAGCAATGAAGGAAGGCAAAGAAGTGACGGAGTACAATAACAAATATTGGCTCATGCTGGATGAGAAAGAGAGTCTGCGCGTTTATCCCACGGAAGACGTCATGGTGTATGTATTATTACTCAGTAAGATGCAGGCAAGGCCGGCCCTACTGTTAGGCAGATGGAGGCAGCTGCTTGGGCAGCCACAGGCCTCCAGGGTTGTGAAAGAGCTACAGTGGCGCCTCGCTTAACGAGTGCACCGTTTAATGACGAATCCGCATAGCGACGTCGCAATTGTGATCGCAAAAGCGATCGCATTGCGATGTTTAGATAGGGAAAATCGCTTTGCGACGATTGGTAAGCATTTCGCTTACCAATTTTCGCATAGTGATTTTTTTTAAACAGCTGATTGGCGGTTCCAAAATGGCCGCCGGACGCCCAAAATGGCCACCCACACCATTTTCGCGCCCTGCCCTCACTTACTGAGGGTGCGAAAATGGCAACGCTATGGGGAAACTAATGCGTTTCTGTGGCGTTTTCGGTTCCGTATAGCGATGTTTCCCCATAGCGACGGTTAATCCAGAATGGATTAACCTTGATATGCAGGGCACCACTGTACAAGGTTTTCAGTTACTTCCTGTGTAATGTCGGCATTTTTAATATGAGGAAAAGAGAGAGACGCTCATGAGAGAGTTTATTAAAGTGGGGAACGTTGCCCCTTGAAGCCAAGAAGAGCCGGAATGGAAGTTCCAGATGGAGAAGAGCAAGGACCTCTTCACCCAGTAGGGGAGTTAAGCTGTGGAACTCCAGGCCACAGGATGAATTGACGGATGCCGTTGGGTGGATTTGTGGAGTTTCGGGCTATCTGTGGCAATTACTCAGGGGTGCTGAGCGCCACCTCCAGCATCGGAGACTCTTGTGTCTCCTTGGGTGCCGACGGTGGCACGTCTTTTCCAATGCTCTTACATCTCCCCCTTTCAACACCCTTGGCTTTCCTACAGGGAGGAAATGAAATGGAGGCAGTGGGTAGATGACTGGCTCGTGCACCTTATCTCCCCCAATGTTTACCGCACGCCTGGTGAGGCCTTGGCGTCCTTCGACTACATCGTGCGAGAGGGCAAGTTCGGGACGATAGAAGGCCTGTTTGCCAAATACTTTGGTGCCGTTGCAATGTTCTTCATTGGCAAGAGGCTGAAAAAGAAGTTGGTATTTCCTAAATAATTTTATGGGTTTGGGGGTGGTAGGTGGGCATCCCCTTTTGTTACCTTTTCGTTTTTAACAGGGAAGCGTTCTCTGTCTCTGCACTGGAATTCTAGGCCTCTGTGTTCACTTTTATAAAAGTATATGTTTATATTTGTTTCAGGGAGTAGCGGTATTATTCTATGGTCTTTTGTAGCAAAAACAACAGTGTTGTAGCATCTTAAAGGATAACAGATTTACTTGGGAAAATAAATCCTATCTGAAGAAGTGGTCTGTATTTTTTGCTCAGTTTATGCTGAATAAACTGTGCAATATTCAGGGTGACACAGGACTCTTAAGTCCTATCCTCTGAAGAGGCCAGCCACAAAGACTGGCAAAACGTTAGGAACAAAAACCCTACAAAACACGGCCAAACAGCCCAAAAAACCTACAGCAGCTATCATGACACAGGACTTTTGGTTCATCTTTGAAAGAGGAACATAGTAAATGACTGACAATTTTTTGTACAGTTTTTTCAACTTTTTTCTGTTTTCGCAGGCATCAGCTGCATGATGATGTCAGAGAAGACCTGTATAAAGCAGCCAACGACTGGGTGAAAGTGGTGGGCTCAGACCGAGCGTTTATGGGAGGAAACCAGCCCAACCTTGCAGATTTGGTAAGGAAGTGGGATAGAAATTGCTCATCCTTTGAGACTGTGGTTTGCTTTTGCTGCATGCTTGAATTACGGTGTAGCGACAAACCTGGAAATACAGGCATGAAACCACTCCTTAAAATATCTCACTTACCTAGAAAGCTTTCTTAGGGTCTCTATAAGGTCCATTCTGACTTGATGGCTCATAACACTTACATCCATGACCCAACCATTTGATTTAATGTTTTCATGTTTCCTCTTAGGAGCATGTTGGGCTGGGGGTTGAAAGATCTGGGATCCCTGTGGACTTAGGAGACTCACTGTGTGAACCTGGGGTGCTTATTCTCTCTCCCTGCTTGATTTACCTCACATATTGGAATATTGAGGGCATATTGGAAAATCAGAGATCCATGTATGCCACTTTCAATTCGTTGGAGGGAAGCATGGAATATAAACAAAGCTCCTTTTAATCCCAGGCTTGTGCTGATGTATTTTTCGTTTTTCCTTTTTTATTTTTTATTTTGGCAAACATTCTGTGTCTTATCTGCCCAGGCCGTATTAATCCCAGGCTTGTGCTGATGTATTTTTTGTTTTTCCTTTTTTATTTTGGCAAACCTTCTCTGTGCTATCTGCCCAGGCTGTGTACGGAGTCCTGCGTGTCATGGAAGGCTTGGAAGCTTTCGATGACATGATGACACACACCAAGATCCAACCCTGGTACCATCGGATGGAGGCAGCCATTGGAAAGAATGAAGCTACTGACTGATACTGCGAGCGCTTCGAACCCCTCTTTGCATAGACAGTTTGAGAGTGCTGTTCGGTTTAGCAAGGCTTCAACAGAAAACAGCGCTTGTGGGCCAAAAAATGGGTGTAGGAGGAGTGGCTGCTATAGAGTTAGTCCAGATCTTGGTGAAAACTAGGAAGCAGCAGAAACAAAGGCATGTAGATGCTTCATTGGAGAGCCTTCAAGCTGTCCTATTTCTGCGTAAATTCCAATTTAACGAGATGAGAAGAGTGAAGTGCTGTATCCCTTTACATTGGTACTGCGCTACTAGCGAACTCTTTCATTTTGAGATTTGACTCCGTGTTGCATTGCTAATGACCCATAAACAATTCTCCATGTCTTCCTGGTTATGTACAACATGCAGAAAAATACTTCCTTGGTCCAGACAGAGATGGAAGAAATGGACACTTCCATAATTTGGAATTTGGGACAGTGGTCATGTTTTCTGCACACAGAGATTGCTTTTCATTTTTTTTCCGGGCAAAAGGGTCTGAAACTTTTTTTCCCACCCCTTTCCTTGCTGATCTCAAGCTGACTGAACTTCTCTTTATGGGCTCTGCATGCCATTTGGAACTTTTCTGTTAACGGTTAATCCAGCTGAAAAAAGAATAGCTAGCAAAATGTGTGGGTTTTTTCATTCATCCTTAGGAAGATTTGTTTCTGGAAATGGCAACCTGGGAAGAGAGAAATGCAGAACATCCTTCACGTGTTACAAAATTCCTACTCAGAAGGCCATTTTTAAATGTGACAAATTAATAAAAATAGGATGTTTGCGCCAGAGGGAGCATGTAGCAACTCTACTTATGGATAATTTTCTGCAAGTACAGTAATTGATCAGCGCTTGTTACAGGGTGTACACGTGTAATGCTTCATGTGTGTCTGAAAACAATTGTAGCCTGGAAAAACATGCATAGAAAGACACCTCTAGAATCTGAACACAAACCATTTTTGTGTGGGCGTAGTTCATTTTACAGAAGAGAAACCTGGGAATTATAGTTCTTGGACAGGAAAGGGGGGTGCATATAATAAGAATGATAGGAGTTGTAGTCCCTGAAATGACATGAATCATGGATTTTTAGGCTTCAGTCTTGTGTGTTCCTATCTGGTAGTAAATGCCACTGCATGCAGTGAGACTTACTCCAAAGTAAATGTGAATAGGATTGTGCTGTTGTTAACATACAGCCTCTGCTACAGTTGATCAAGAGAGCAATCATGGAGTACAGAAAAATTCTACAGTGGGTCAGACGTAGCGCCATTTCTGTTTTGGAAGTTCAAACTGTTTACTGTGGGTAAAATCATGAAAATCAGTGGGACTACTCCAGATTGCACTGGCTCTTGCTTTGTTGTAGATCTCCTTGTTCCAGAGTGTGGTCAGTCAACCTAATCCGACTTGATGACTGTAAACCAGAAACCCTCTGAAGTTATTTCAATGAGAAACACAGAACAACAGCAAAGTTATTTGGCTAGTGAGTTTACTCTGGCACACATGGGTGGAGAAAAAAAGGCAGCTTAAACCGTGTTCACCTTTAACTAACTTGTCCTTGTTCAGTTCTTTCCATCTGTGAACTGAGCTATGGTTTTTAATTTTTTTTGCTTCTTTTTCTGTTCCACCCTGCTTAAAAGTGGTTAACCCCCGTGTTGAGCATTCCCAGTCCGGAAAAGGCATGATTGGCAAAGCAGATTCTATTGAAATAAATCTTTTTTGGCCACTATCCTCTTCAAATCGTTGTGCACCCAATGGAGAGTTGTCGAAATGACTGCTATGCCACGAGATCCTTTCTTATGCCTGTTCACTGGAATAAGATATTAACCTTTTCCGTTTAACTTGCTAAAATTTTGGATGTCCGTTTGAATTTCCCAGATTGCCTGCTTCATATTCAATGTCTTTTTTCCCCCCTGACCCCCTTTTTTTTTGATCCTGTAACTGACGCGTGTGGTTTTGTGAGCTGGACTTTGCTGGAATAAAGTTGCAAGGAACTGCCCTGTTCTTTCTTTCCAATTGGGATAGAGTGAGAGATGAAACTTGCAATAAAACGATTTTGCTGGTGTTTGCCGGACTGGTTTTTGTTTTTTTCCCTTTGTTTCTTTTTCTGTTGAAGTGAATCATCAGTGAAATATGTTTTAGGCACAGTGTATTCATGGAGCTAATAAAAATCCGCACGTATCAACACTAATGAACAACCCTGTGAGGTAGGCCATATTGGAACTCTAAGGGGGCATAGGAACGGTTATTCCACTTTCCTAAGGCCACCAATTGAGTTGATAACAGGTTATTTCCACTGAGATTTTCCTTCTCAGCTCAATTTTTGTGGGGGTTGTAGGAGGTATGTTGTAAAGGCTTCATGGATGAATGCAGACTTGAACTCAGGATCTCCCTACATTCTTGGTCTGAAACTACCCATTACTTTATTTATTATTTATTTATTCAAGATATTTATATTTTAACTCCACACTCTCCTTTTTTGCCCTATTCCCATGGTTGAAAAGGACGGGACTCCAGCTGCTCTTGGCCTACAACTCCCAGAAGCTCAGAGTATTAGCTCCAGGCGCTAGGGCGTCTGGGAGTTGTAGTCCAAGTCCGCCGAGGGAGCCCCACGTTTGGCAGCCGTTAGGCCTCTTGGCGTAGTCTCGCACCCGATCTCCTAGCAACCAGGCCCAGGCCGGAGGGTTGGGCGGGGCCCGTTGTGACGCCACGCCCCCCCGTTTCCAAGGCAAAGAGGGCGGAGGCCGGGGTAACAGCGAGTGGGAGGAGAGAAAGAGAAGAGAGACCGAGCGGAGAGGAACCAAAGAGGGCGCGAGCCCGGGAGGTCACGAGGGCAGCGGGGGGTTTGAATCATCCAATGGGGGAGCGGTGCGCGGCGTCCCGGGGGCGGAGCCGGAAGTCGCTCTGCGCGTCCTGGAGCTGCAGCTGTTCGTCCGGCAGCCGCTGCAGGAGCTGCTGCCACAGCTTGGGCTCGGCGGGGCTGCCGGCGCCCCGGGCTCTGGGTCTCCATGGCAGCGGCCGCAGCCCGTGCAGCTACCGCGGCCTCATCCACAGCTTCGAGGAGGTCCTGAGGCGACGCCTCCGGGGCCGCATGAGAGCCTCATGGTGAGGGGCCGGGGGGGGGGATCGGGACCCGCGGTGGCCGGGAGGGCCAGAATCGGGCCCCCTTTCCCGCTCGGAGGGAGGGAGGGAGGCTACCGGGGGGTGGCTGCACTCCAGACCCCATCAGCCCCGGCCGGTTGCCAGGGGGAATTGGACCTGCGGTGTTGCCATACCTGGCTACCTTGCCCCTGCACTACGCTGCCCATTATCCCCAGCCAGTGGCCGGGGAGAATGGGAATCGGAGTGCTCCAATGACAGGCTAGCTGCACCTGTCCATTCCTCCCCAACCAGTATGGCCAGTTGCCAGGGAGAATGGGACCTGTGGTCTTGCCATACCAGGCTAGCTCCCCCTGCACTATGCTGGCCATTATCCCCAGTCAGTGGCCAGGGAGAATGGGAATCGTAGTGTTCCAATAGCACCTGTCCATTCTGCCCCAGCCAGTATGGCTAGTTGCCAAGGAGAATGGGATCTATGGTGTTGCCATACCAGGCTCGCTGTCCCTGCACTACGCTGCCCATTATCCCCAGCCAGTGGCCAGGGAGAATGCAAATCGTAGTGCTCCCTGTCCATTCTGCCCCACCCAGTATGGCCAGTTGACAGGGGGAATGGGATCTATGGTGTTGCCATACCAGGCTCACTGGCCCTGCACTGTGCTGCCCATCATCCTCAGTCAGTTTCCTGGGAGAATGGGAATTGCAGTGTTCCATTACTAGGATAGCTGTACCTGGGCTACACTGTCCATCATCCCCAGCCAACACAGCCTGTTGCCAGGGATAATGAAGTTGTAGCACTGGAATGCCTGGATAGCTGCACCTTGACTACACTGTCCATCATCCCCAGCCAACACAGCCTGTTGCCAGGGAGTATGGAGTTGTAGCACTGGAATGCCTGGATAGCTCCACCTGGACTACACCTTCCCTCATCCCCAGGCAGTGTGCATTTCAGGAATAACGGAGGAGTAGCCTGACTCAGGACCCTGGCTTGGAGAAGATTTGACTTACGAGAGATTTAGTCTGTCTCCAATGTGTTATGGGTGTAAAGGCTATTTATTCAATAATGCCATTGCTTTCTCGTGATTGTTTATATCCTTGAATCTCTGGCAGGCACAATTAGTATTTTGGGGAGCCACACAATTTTTCTTCCAGGACTTTTTTTGGGGGGGTGATCCTTGTGGGGGAATGTCACCTTTTAAGGACTGTGGGAGATCACACACAGGGTCTCCTGGCCCCTTGGAAATAGGCCAGCCTCGAATTAAAGCCTTAGGGTGTTTTGCCTTCACATATAGTTTTCTCCAGACTGATTGTTATATGAAACAAGCGCTTGCAGTGAGGGTCGAAAGGAGGTGGGTGGCAGCCAGAGCCTCTGTAGGCGCTGAAGTTGCAAAAAGAGATATCAGGATGAAACCTCTTCTGTTTTCCAGAAGGGAAAGAATTAGGCAGCCTTCTATCCTCCAACCTGGAGCTAACCCAAAGTCTTAAGACTACAACTCCCATCATCACTGGTCACCGTGGATGCGGGGATAATGGGAGATGATGGCCCACCATGTCTGGTGGACGTCAGAACAGCTTACAAGAAACTCAATATAGTTGATACTTCTCTTGGTCGGTACTAGAGTTGGTGTTGCCGTTTCTGTCTACAGGAAGCCTGGATGCTAGATGCCTTTTCAAATTTGTGTCTTTCCCCCCCGCTTTATCTGCTTCCAGGTTGTCCCCATCTGTTAGGAGTGGAATTGTTGTCACGGCTCCGAAAAAAGCTCTGTTAGGATCTGAGACGCAGGTGCTATCTGTATGTAGCTGCTTTAAGCAGCATTCCTATCTTATTTCATATGTTTTATTTACTTGTGCTGACTTTAAAAAGAGAAGTGGGGACAGGAAGAGGGGATGATTTACCATGCGCTGTGAATGCACAGAGTTTGCAACTGTGGTGGCCTTTTGGGATGTTAGCAGAACAATTCATAGTTAATAAATAAAGATAGGGAGGAGTATGTACAGAGATGGGGAATTTTACACTTGAATGGATGCAATTCCCAGAATACCGTGATCCACAGCAATGCTGACGGGGGTTTTAATGGAAATTTCAGTGCAAAACAAACAAGCACCTTTTCCCATCTCTGTATGTTTATACTTAAAAATCTGGATTAGATAACAATGATGTAGTAAAGAGACAGAATAATTTTGGGTGTGGAAATTTTCACACAAGTTTTTTATTTTATTTTTTAGGGAGGCATGACTTATGCATGTGGGGCATTTTTCTGAAGTAGAATTTAAATGTTGTGTGTTAAACTTAACAGACTAAGGAGTATTTAAATCTGTGTTTACTTTCTGGAGTCTTTTATGAAAGTTGCCTGATTTGAAACTATGGGTTTTAAATCAGGATTTGCATTAACTTACCACCTCTCAGACCTGCTTTGCTCATTCTGGCATATAAACCTGTTGGTGACCATGATCTGATAGGGTGCAACACTAAGCCATAGTTTAATCTGAACCAGGTTATCTGGGGAATTCTGGGAAGCGTAGTCCAACTCTCCCCCCCCCTTTCCTACCTCTTTGCATGTTCTGTCCAAAGAGAGGAGCAGGTTCTCCTGAACTCAAGAGCCCAAGGAATGGTTATTATTTCCAGTCTGCTTGTTCACAGGTCCCCTTTCCCCCCTCCCACTCTCCTGAATGCCCCCTCCCGCTTGTCGGAGAAGAAAAATGAAGAGCCGTTCCACCACTCCCCCTTTGCACGTCCATGTGGATGAAAATACCCCTGTCCATGTTCACATTAAAAAGGGTCAGAAAACACCGCCGCCACCTGCAAAACCCCAGGTACGCGTGTGCAGCTGGATGTCTTTCGGAGGCTCTGCTGGGACTAGAGATGCTCCCAGATGCTCCAGCAGAAGCCCCCGGCCAGTTCTGTCACTTTAAATGTCTCTGGAAAAAAACTTGTCAGGGTGCATTGCTTTCCCTCTGCTTGGAACTTATCCACATTTCTCTGCATCATTTCGTCTTTGTGCTTAAACTTAAAAAGGGAGAGCGATTATGCTGTTTGTCTGTTGATTGTTCCTGGGTTGCCACTGCTTCTTGCTCGAACCCCCCCCCCCCTGCATTTTCATTTATTATTTTCTCTCAAGACCGGCATTTCAGATGTTTTTGGTACTCTCCTCTGATGACGTATGGAAAGAAGTGAGGGCACATTTCTGGGCGCATCCATGCTAATTCTCTAGGCCTGTGGGGAAAGTAGTCATTTGCCTCGTTAGTTGACTCTCCCAGTTCAGGAGTTGTGGGAAAACTGGAAAAAAAATACTGTACAGATTTCCCGCAGAGGTGAAAAAGGGCAAGCCGCCAGGTTAAGAGTAGCACAATTAAAAGCCTTCTGGAACAGGAAGGTTGACTCTCCCAGTTCAGGAATTGTGGGAAAACTGGAAAAAAAATACAGATTTCCCACAGAGGTGAAAAAGGGCAAGCCGTCAGGTTAAGAGTAGCAGAAATGAATTAAAAGGTGATTTCATTGCTGCTCTTTCTCTTGTCCCTGACGGAGTTAACTTATTCTTGTATCCAAAACCTTTCACTGCCTCACCGCATCTCTGTTCTGTGTGCAAAATATGCAACCCTTTGTTGTAGCGCATAGCATCAAACTTCACTGAATTGCGTGGAGTACTTTTGCAACTCACTGCCAACCCAGCAGTCCAAAAGCATGAAAATGCGAGTCGATAAATAGGTACCACCACAGTGGGAAGGTAACGGCGTTCCGTGTCTAGTTGCGCTGGCCACGTGACCACGGAAACGGTCTATGGGTAAAACGCTGGCTCTGTGGCTTGGAGACGGGATGAGCACCTCGCCCTAGAATCAGACACGACTGGACTAAATGTCAAGGGGAACCTTTACCTATGGGTCCAGCAGTCAGCATATTAGAAAGAACAAGACTTGTCTCCTGTACAACCCTGTGTGCGGTGTGTTTGGGTCCAAGGGCACTAAGCAACTTGGATTGTGCTACTGTTTATTTATGAAGCCTCTTTATAGGCGACTTTCACCCTAACAAGGCAGTTAACGAGGTGAAGCTACAACTATAATGAGAAAACTGGCAACAGTAGTTCGCGTTTGGGAACCCTGGCCCTTCGAATGTTCCCACACAACAAGCCCCATTGGGTGCACCCTTTCAGCATCTTTCTGGCCCTGAGGATTCCTCCATAGGAGGCTGTGAGGTTTGGCAGCCTGAATTGGTTCACGGCACGTCCGCAGCCTAAGTCTTTCCCCACCGGTCGCCAAATCTGGTCTCCCCAGGGTGACCAGGGCCTGGCCTTGCATCACAAGAGACTGGGCGACAGAGCTGATGTCACAATGATACCCAAGTGACCCAGCACAAAGCTGCTTCCAGCAGTCGGTTCCCTTCCTCTCCTAGCTATGCGGTACCTATCTTTCTTTTTTCTGAGCGTGGCGGCCGCGACCGCCTTGTGATGTAGCATGTGACGCCTTTTTTTCTCATGGTACTGTTTGCTGGCTCAGCGGGGGTGTTGGTGGTGTTGGTTGGGGGGGGTGCGCGCTTTCTGATTCTCTTGGCCCAGTTTTGTCTCGGGACGCAGTTCCGGGACATGCGCGTCTCAGGCGACTGACGCCCGTCTGTTCTCTGTCTCGACCCGCTCGCCTCTGCAGCAAAAGCCCAAGCAGAAGATGAAAGGGGACACCGTGAATGTGCGCCGCAGTGTCCGAGTCAAAACCCGAGTCCCCTGGATGCCCCCGGGCAAAACATCTTGCAGAGAATCATCCTACAAGTGGGAGGTAGGATAACGGCAGCTTCCTTTCAGAAGCCTGGAGATAAGACCTCCAGAAGAGGCTGGAGGCCCCAGGGAAGGCCTGTCAGATCCGTCATTCTGTTCCCCTAGGGGGGCCAGCCATAAGGCTGCGGGAAGCCCATGAGCAGGCCAGGAGCCCAGCAATCCCCTCCGTTTCTTGGGGCCTGCCAGGCGGGACTGGAAAGCATTTCATTCAGTTTGGAGTTATATAGTCTTCCCTGTCAGAAGCCGTTATGGTGGTTCTGGCCGTCCAAGTTGTCAGCTGTTGGAACATCTTGTGGCAGTGAGTTCCAGGGTTTAACTAGGTGAATAAATACTTCCTTTCATCCTTCTCAGATTTCCCATCACATGATCTTACTGGGATCTACCACAAGGGATATTTTTTTCTCCTTACCAACTTTCTATTCTTGCTGTTCAGAGGGTTCTGGGAGTCGTTGTTGGTAAAATGTTGCGTTGCTCAGAAAAGGGGGGTGGTCTTTGCCTGCTCTTTGTGATTGGAATCTTTACCCCTCTTCTTCCTCCTCCTCGGATAGGGACCAACCCATCGCCTGGAGATCACCCCGCCCGATTCGGAAAAATTGCTGTCAGTGCTGCGCCTGAGTGACCTTTCCACAGACGAGGAGGACGCCATTCACTGCAAAATGAACAAGTACGAGAAGAAGATCGACAGCCTGTTGAATGTTGTGGGCACCCTGAAAAACGAGGTGAGACCCTTGGAGTGGTTTCACTTGCCTCGAGGGGCTTGGACGTCGTGGTAGCTTTCCTTTCCATATTTTTTTTTAGCCTCGTCATTCAGAGTCGCCGTGCGCAAACGTCACAATGACGGGTTGCACATTTTCTGTAGAAGGGCCTCCTAACTTGTCTTCCACCTGATGGTGTTCAGCTTCCTTGCTTTAACTCCTCAATTCCAGGAAACTCTGTACAATATCCCCAGGTTTCCTTTTCAAGCTTTTCAGAAGGAGCGAGGCGGAGAAGGGGTGGATCCGAAGCTTCTGGGCACAAGGGAAAGGGGTAGCTGTAGCAAAAAAAGGGTAGGATTATTCTAAGAATAAGCAAAAAGCTGAGGGAGCCGTTCGGGTACAAGTGGCATCTCACAATCTGTACTGAAGTGGTGGTTTAGGTCTCTGATGGTGGAGCCAGAGGTTGGGGGTTCGATTCCCTCTGGTGCCTCCTGGGGAGTAGAGCCAACTCTTTGGCAAACGGGACACTGTCCCAAGGTGCCCCCCCCCAGGAAGAAGGGAACAGAAAACCACTCTTGAGTATTATCTACCTCGAAAATCTTGGAAAGGCTCAGATTATAAATTGACAGCACATGACGATGACGAAGGAAATGGGGGGGGGAACTGATCACAGAAGTTGGCAAGCTTTCAAGAACACAGATCTCTTCACCGGGTGAAATGTTACACAGTTAAGGAGAGGCTAGATCTGAAGTCCTGGCCATCTGCTTCTTTTCTCATAACAAGAGAAACACTGCAGCTAATACAGTGGGAGCCCTTCTGAGGCAGTGTCATTACATTTCACCCGAGGAAGCTCACAGACTTACCAAGAAGTGGGAAATTAGGTTCAAGCCGCCATCCTAAATCACTCTGCTTTTGTGATTGGTAGTCACTTAGAAAACTAGAGTGCATCGTCTTACCTTGTTCATCTTTCATTATAGATAATTTTATTTGTCACCGTGGCTGAAATTCACACACACATACACACACTCACACACACACTGTGGGCATTCATTGTAGATGATATAGAATGTTGAAATAGCAACGCAGTTCCAAAACCTGACATTCTGTTGACATTTTCTTTGTTCTTGTGGCAGAGTTCACCTTCTTTCTAGCATGTTTTGTTCTGGTCGGGCGGATGCTTGAAAGTCTTTGTCATAGTTTTAACTGGAACTTGTCTTATTTTGGAGTAGGTGAGTTATCCTCTCCGGCCAGAATTTGTGACTGCTGCTTTTATTTGTTTATATATATAAAAAATCAAGTAGCCTATTGAAGCAGTAGAAGAGTTAACTGGAATCTGACACATGCTGCATAGGGATTGTTTATTCCAGCTGTACTGAAACACTATTCGGTAGGAAGAATTTTTGGAATCGCAGGATGCTGGCGATGCATCATACGTGCACAGATTCGTCCCCCCCCCCCGCCACCTTCACCGGTCTGTTGAACTGCTCTAAATGTCCCCCCCAAGGTCAAAATGCCAAAACGGGAGGATTCGCGATGCGTGGCCAAGCGCCTGCTGGAAGAGCGGAAGGAGGAGCTGGACGAGGTCACCCAGGAGCTGGTTGAGACAGAACATGAGAACACCGTCCTGCGGCGCAACATTGAGCGGATGAAAGAAGAGAAAGATCTGAGCATGTAAGGAAGCTTTCTGACTGCCCGTCCACCCCGTTCCATCCCACACTCCCATTCTTTGGAAGCCTGACCCTGTGGCCGGCTGTGCAGAAACTCTCCCCTCGCCCTTGTGCATGAGCACAGGATTTAATCATTCATGGGGATGAAAGAACTTCCCACCTAAGCTAGATGTGGAGCAAATTGGTGTTTTAGATCTGAAATCCCACCCATTGCCCTAAGCTGAGAACCCGAGTGTCTCTCTGGGATAAAACCCTAAAGCTTCCCCTGCCCATTTATTTTTTTCATCCTTAGGACCATAGGGAAATACCTGACTAGCGCCCGAGGTGCTTTCTCTGCTCTGCCCATTCGGGAGGATTTAATACCGCCTTCCTTTCCAGACTCCAGAAGCGCCACCTGCTGCACGAGAAGGAGTGTCTGATGGCCAAGCTGGTGGAGGCCGAGCTGGACGGAGCTGCTGCCGCCAAACAGATCCAGGCCCTGAAGGACGCGATTGGGAAACTGAAATCCGTAGGTGCCGAGCGAGGGCAAGGTGGCGCAGGTCGGGGTCCCTGCCTGCTTAGAGCAGGGGCTGAGAACGGGCCGTTTGTCCATTGGGAGAATGAATCTGAGCCTCTCAGTTGACTCTTCGTCTTGTCTTCCCTCCCTGTGTTGCTTTCCCCAAATTTCAGGAAAAGCACATGACCTCCTCAGACATCAATACGCTGACGAGGCAGAAGGAGCTGCTCTTGCAGAAGCTCAGCACGTTCGAAGAGACCAATCGGACGCTCCGGGACTTGCTTAGAGAGCAGCACAGCCGGGAAGTGAGTGCGAGAGTTGATTCTGCTTAAACGTCCTCCTGATGATTCGATGAGGGTTGGCCACAACACCACATGAAGGATTCCTAAGGGGGTGGGAGATTGTGTGGTTAAGCCAAGGTGGGAAGGCTTTTGGGGGGAAGACTCTAAACCTTTGTATTCTCACCTCTCTCTCATTTTCTTTCTCTCTGTATGTGTGTTTGACGGTCTTCTCTCCTCCTCCAGAAAGACTCTCAGAAGCTGGCAGAACAGCAAGCAGCCCTTGTGAAACGCCTGACGGAGGCCGACACTGAGAAAGCGGTGAATATAAATCAGAGTTCAGTGTGTCTCTGCGTGCGTGTGTGTTTTCCTGCCAGCCTCTTTTCCCACGAGTGTCTCGGAAGCATTTCTGTGTCTAAAAAAAAAGAAAAAAAAGGGGCATCTTGATGCTTAGAGGGTCTGAGAAAGTTCCAAGGGGCCAAGGGAGGAAATTGATGAAACACGGCTTGTGGGCTTCTCCTGTTTCCTGAGCCACTCTGTCCATCGTCCCTTCCTCTCCACACACGCCCCATTCTGTTCCTCCATCAAAAAGTTGTCCTCTCTTCTGCCCTTCCTATCCTGCAACGTTTAGCGGCTGCCGTATGTGCTCAACCTTTGTGGAGTTGTTGAGGGTCTCCCCGTCTGCCCCTCCTCAATATTTCCTGCAAAGTGTCAGGCTCTTATTTTCAGCAAGAAAAATACCATTTCGGGTTGGATAAGCAGTAGAGGGGGGCACTCATCGGTCATAGATGCCTAGGAGGGCCCTTTGCTCTGGTGGCCCCCAGGAATGCGCAGAAACATTCACACTCCCATGCAAAAGTTCCCTCTTGCCTGTGATTTCTTTTCTGGGGGGGCCTCTGGTTTGTTTTTCAGCTATTGATGAGGAAGCTCCAAGATAAAGAGAAGGAAATAGATGATCTGATGGTGCAGATACAGACAGAAAAGGTAAGCTTTGCTTTGGTCGGGCACTTGAAGGAGATACAAATTCTGGGGAGTGCGCTTCTAACCCTTCTCTTTATTGAAAGAGCATCTGGATTAGAGATGTAACATTACTGAAAATTGCCATTTTTTTCTGGGGGGGAAAAAGGAGAAAAACTGGAAAGTTTTGGAAATTCTACATCTCTAGTCTGGATGTGGGCGCATGTGCTTGCTTACAGAAGTGACTTTCTGAATCCAGGACAAATTAAGAAGATGTGCATGTGCCACATGCTCGTCGAGAGCCATGCTTCTCAAATTTGGGTCCCCAGATGTTTTTGGCGTGTGGTTCTCCGAAGCCTAGTCTTTGGCAAAGGTTTTGGGGAGTTGGATTCTGAGACAACCCTGAAAAGGGTCGCCATAAGTCAGCATTGACTTAATGGCACATTGTTATTATTATTACACAGCAGGACCTCCTTAGCTTCAGGATCAGTATCCGCTGATGCACTTATCCACGGTCCGAAAATATTAAAAGAAAAATCCCCCAAATACTGTATTTCTGACAACGAAGTTCCAGAACTGGCCACTCAAGGGAGCCAGAGACCATGCTATGTACAGCATTTGCTGCTGTTAGGGTGTCAGTTATAATCAGGGTTTGTCTGCATCCACGGAGCGGTGGTCTGGAACTGTCTTGCCACCATTATGGGAATCCTGTCTGAGAATATTGGGAGCGTCAGTGGTCGAAGGAACCTGCCCTCTGCATCTTACACCTGCTTTGGGCCTTCATTTTAGGATCAAGCCAAGACAGCAGCTGAACTCTCAAAGTCTATGGAAGCCGTGAGGGGACATTTGCAGGCCCAGCTGCGGAATAAAGAAGCTGAGAACCATCGCCTGGGTATCCAGATTCGGGTACAGCCTCCTATGGCTTTGGGGCAGGGCGGGGGCTTGAGAACCTGGGCGCTATACCTGTGCAGGAAGACCAGGTGGTACAGTGGGCCATAGGGGGGGGGGGGTGGCTGTCAAAAATGAGCAGTCCCCTCAATGCACAGACCACTTCCGCCCACACATTGATCCATGGCCTCCTTTTGTAGCACATGTAGATTAGCTGACTCTTGAACAGGATGGGGCACAGCCCTCCCTGCCCCTTGGGCCGTCTGACGTCCAGAAGAACTGGTGAGAGTGTTTTGATAGCAGCCTCTCGTCCTTTTCCTCCCAGAATCTGGAACGTGTGGCCGCCCAGCACAAGGCAGAGGTGGACAACATCATGGAGCAGCTGAAAGAGCTGAAGGCGAAAGGAGAGCGGGACAAAGAGGCCCTGAAAATGGCCATCAAGGCACAGAAAGAGCGAGCGGAGCGGAGTGAAGAATACGCTGACCAACTGAATGCCCAGCTGGCCGAAAAGGTGACAGTTCCAGCAGTCCGGGCCTTTTCTTATTTTTGCACCATGGTTGTGGAGGGACATCCCTCTGCAATCTTCGGCAGGGTGGGGTGGTTGAGGATGCTAGCTTTGCCATTGATTGATTGATTGACTGACTGAGAAGGAAAGTCCCATCTCTGTTGTTTCACTTAGACTGTGGAACTCCCTCCCACTGGAGGCCAGTTTGGCCCCATCTTTCCTCTCCTTTTTCCCAGTAGGCGAAGACCTTTCTCTTCAGGGAAGCTTTCCTTCAGTGCCTGAATGGGTTTCTTAAATAGATTCTTGTGCCTTCCTGCTTTGAATGTGTTTTCACCTTGCTTACGTTTACCACTTTTAAAACCTTTTTTTTTTGGTGTTGTATTTGCTGGACCCTTTTAAAATATTTGTATACTTGCTGTGTTTAAATACTGTCTTTTACTGATGCAAGCCACCTTGTGTCCTTTTAAAAGAGAAAGGCAGGGGTTTGGAAGATCAATTTAAGAAATAAAACTCCAGCTGTGGCTTCCCTTTTGGCCTGAGGTAGCTAGAACCACATGGATGCTGTGAGGTTTATCTGCTTTTTATGCCACTCAACGTGAACCGGGGTGCCTTCTGCTTTCTCTCTGGAACGGCACCCTCACGCTTCGGATCCTGTCTCCCTGGTTCAGGACGCCTACGTTGCCGAGGCCTTGTCTACCTTGGAGTCCTGGAGGAACCGCTACAATCAAGTGGTGAAAGACAAAAGCGATCTGGAGGTGGAGATAGTGATGTTGAACAAGTAAGAGCAGCCCTCGGGGTTTGCGAATAGCGAGCGGAGGCCGTTCTTGGATGAACCAGGAGCGGACATTCTCCAGACACGGGCGACATTACGGCTTGTACTGAGCTTTACATGGGACTGCCCTTCTTTGTGCAAAGCTCAGAGAGAGGGACCCAGGATTAGGCAGGATCCCAGATAATAAATACATTGGGGTGGAGAACTTTGATCCTTAGGCTAAAAGTAGCGCTCAGTACTTCCTTATTGGACCTGCTTCTTTTCTGGTTCCCCTCTAAATAGTGATTTAAGAGGCCACCGAAAGCCTCAAAACTTGACACGCTTCCCTTGCACGATGTTCTCCATCGAATGGAGCCTGCTCTGTTCTTTCCTTTGGTAATGATCCATTTTCCATGCCTGGCCCTGGGCAGCCGCATTACAGATCTGCTGGAGCAGCAAGCCGCCATGGAGGAGAAGATGCGGGAAGACCGAGACGCTTTGGTGGACAAGCTCCATCGGCACGCAACGGAGAGCACCTCCTTCAAGATGGAGAATGAGAGGCTGAAGGTCAGCAGAGAAGGCCGGGGGGGGGGGGAGGGGGCATCCTTGCTCGGCATGGTTGGGCGGCTAAGAACCGGTGGCTCTCCACCTGTTGGGAGGCTCCCAGCATCTGCCTGGCCAGCAGAGGAGTCGGCATTCAACAAGCACCTGGAGGGCTACAGGTTCTCCATCCTGTCCCTCTGCTACATTTTTAGTCTGCTTCAATTCTCTCCTGCGGTTGTTGCCTTGTTCGCTTGGGTGGGAGCCGCTCACGAGAGCGTCCATCTTGTGCTTTTCCTTTCGGTTTAGCAAAGCCGGCCCAGGAGGTGTTCCTGCTGGCGTCGTGCTCAGGAAAAGGGTGGGCGATTTGTCAGGGTGCACCTGCGGTTGAGCTTTGCTGGCTAGCAGATGTTCTTCTGCTCTGAACGGAGGTGGCTTGTGTTGTGGTTCCTCCAGAACAGCATGGCTCCTGTGGAGGAGAGGCTGAATCAAGCTCAGGATGAAGTGGCCAAACTCAAAGCATCCCTCAAGAACTATGAAGGCCTGATTGAGTCCTACAAGAATCAGGTATGTTAACCTTGACCTCATTTGGCATCTCTTCCTCCTCCTCTTTCTGTTCCCTCTCATTTTCCTCTTCGTACTTCCCCATCTTGGGTTTGTATGTTAACCTTGACCTCATTTGGCATCTCCTCCTCCTCCTCCTCTTTCTGTTCCCCCTCATTTTCCTCTTCGTACTTTCCCATCTTGGGTTTAAAGGAAAGAGCAGGGCTGTGTCTTGGCTTTCACGTGGACTGTGGCTTGTGTGTAATCCTATTTCTTTGAAAAGTTCCAGACGTTCTGCTTGGGATATCCAGTTTAGCACCCTCTCATCCTTCTCTCTCTCCCTCCCTCTCTCAAAATTCTTCTGCCCAGGTGTTGAAAACCCGAATGGAAGCGGACGAGGTGACCGCGAAGCTGGAGAGCTGTGATAAAGAAAACAAAGCACTGAAGGAAGAAATGAACAAAGAAATTGAAAATGTGAGATTCCACCCACCCCCACCCCCCAGTGTTGATGGAGCATGAGATGTCTGATGGGTGTATAGGAAGGCTTTTGTAGATTCCAGCTTTTAAGGAATTATTTGTCCTTGCTCCCTATTTTTTGAATGGAAAAAGAATGGATTTAGGTTCCAAATAGAGTGTGCATTTGTGTGGTGGTGTTGTTTTTTAACTACAGCTCCCAGAATCCCCCTGGCCATCTCTGCTATCTGAGGAATTCTGGGAGCTGAAGTCCAAAACTACAAATTCACACACACATTCAAAACTACAAATTCACCTCTTCTTCTCTGATCATCTCTTATCAGTGGTTGGAGGTAACAGAAATAAAGGTTGCAGGCTAGATGTAACAACTGTCAATCCACTTTTCTAAAACTTCCTTTTTAAGATGGCATTCCCAATAGCGAATGGGTTTAGGGGAAGGGGCTTATAGCTAAGAGGTGGGGCATCTGCTTTTATTGCAGGACGTCCAGACCAGTTTGAAGTTAAAGAATACCAGGTAGCTGAGCTTGGCAGGGAGGAGTTGTCCTGGGGGAGACGAGTGGGTGGTCTCCCCGGTATAAAGCTAATTTTTAAAATGCATTTAATGCATTTTTAGATATATAGTGGTGCCTCGCTTCACGATGATAATCCGTTCCAGCGAAATCGCTGTAGAGCGAAATCGTGGTGAAGCAAAAAAACACAACCCATTGGACTGCATTGAAAACCGATCAGTGCGTTCCAATGGGGGAAATACCTGCTCCTCCAGCGAAGATCCTCCGTAGGGCGGCCATTTTCCAGTGCCTGTCTTCCGAAATGAGGTCCAGGAAACAGCGGGCGGCCATTTTGAGAGCCACCGATCAGCTGTTTCCAAATCATCGTCTAACAAAAAATCGGTTCCCAAAGCAGGAAACCGATCATTGTATAGCGAAAAAACACCATCTAAACATCGTTTTGCGATCTCTATAGCGATTGCAAAAAAACCCTCATCAAGCGAAAAAACCGTCATGCGGGGTAAGCGTCTAGTGAGGCACTACTGTCGTATATATTTTAGACAAACAGTTTAAGAATGTGTAAAACATCCTGGGTTATTCTGCATGTTGATTTTTCATATGTGTGTGTGCATGGCACCGGCAGGCTCGTAAGCAGTTCCAGAACCAGTTGGCGGAACTCGAGAAGCTTCCGGAGATCTTAAGGATGACCGAGACGAAACTGGCCGAGTGTCAGGATCAGCTCAAGAGTTACGAGAAGAAGAACACGGATCTCTCGGCCATGATTACGGACCTCCGTCAGCGGGTAAGGGACTGGCAGAAGACGCCCACGCGAACCTCCAGCCGGGGACCAAAATGAACTTCTAGCACCAAGAATTGGCATCCTCTCGTCTCTCTTCTCTCGTCTCTCTTTGAAATGATTAAAACATCTGCACTGTGGAATAACCTGATGTGTGGCATGGCTTTGTTTTCTGCTCACATCATCCTCATATAAGCTTTGCTGGTTTCTCTCGTTCCGCTCTTGCTTTGTTTTGTGGGGGCTCGGGGATTAACGTTCATCGGCTCCCTCCGTTTTTGCACCCTTACCTTCATTCGCACGTAGGCAGCCTTTTCCATGTGATGACGTGCACGTAATAATCCAAAGTCTTCTAAAATCCTAGGAGCTGAATCTCTTGGCCAAGCTCAACTGAGAGAAAGCCAAAAGCAAAAAAACCTCCAATGAGCCCAATATTTGTGCAGCTACTTAAAATGCGGTTATGCCACTCATTCAAAGAGTGGGATTTATTCCTTTGTCTTAACCATTCAGCAGCTGGCCTGATGAAGAGATCTGTGAACTCAAAAGCTTGCATGCTTTTTAAAGAAGCCCCGTGAAAATAATTTAACCCAGTGTAGAGGTTGGCATGAATCGACTCTAGTTTGGAAGGAGTCTATTGTGCTCTACCTGTTGGATTCAAGCCCTTTACCTTGGAAGCAAAGTTTCTTATCCACGGAGAATGATATAAAATAAAAGTGGAAAGATTTCACTAGATCACGGGGTTTTAATAACGTGTGCAGAAACATTGATGGTTTGGAAGCGGGGTTGTGTCAGCTCTACATTCTTTGTAAAAGTCAACTTGATTTCTTCGGGACACCTCGCATGGCTCTTTCCTCACCTCAACAAGCCATTCCCATTCTTTCCTGTCCATAACGTGTGCAGAAACATTGATGGTTTGGGAGCGGGGTTGTGTCAGCTCTACATTCTTTATAAAAGTCAACTTGATTTCTTTGGACACCTTGCATGGCTCGTTCCTCACTTCAACAAGCCATTCCCATTCTTTCCTGTCTGCACGTGTGTTTTGTGTGTTTCCTGTAGGGTTGTGCTTCCTTGTTGCCTTAAATTCTGTGCTTCGTTTTGCTTGCAGGGACCCGGTCGCTCACTGGGGCGGGATCAGGAAGAGACTTTTCTAAACAGAAAAAGGACGCAACCGACGGGAAGGCATGCAGGGCTTATAGCGGGTCAAACAGACGGTGCCGGGGATGCTCCTGGCCTCACCATCTGACCTACCTGCCCTTCTCCGTCATTCGAAGCATGATGCATTCATGGGCAGTCAGGAGGGAAGTGGTCCCTCTGTTTGTCAGTTCCGTGTGACTCCAGGCCTTCAGCCTGAGCGCCGGAAGCCACTCCTGGAGCTGGGATCCTGCAAACCCAGCTTCCATTTTGGAGTCTTGGATGTAGTCGCCTTGCCTGCTGCTTTTTGCTGCTCCTCCTTTCTCACACACCAAGAAAATGGACTCTCTCTTGCTGAAAAAAAAGCACAACCTCCCTGTTCCGGAGGCCTCCCATCCTGGTTCCGACCTTCCCCGAGATCGTCTCGCACTTCTCCGTGTTCAGCTTTTTCTTTCCTCCTCTCCTTTTAGATTGAGCTTCAGGGCGACAAGATGGAGTTGACGAGAGGAAAGTATCAGGTGGCCCAGGAGGAGAATAAGCAGCTGGTCCTCAAGCTGGAGGAGGTCGAGAGGTTAGGGAGCGCGAGCGAACGGGTCGGAAAGAGCGCCGGGCCAAAGAGGAAAGCGGGAGGAGTCCCAAACGGTCACCCTGCGTGGCTAAAGGAAGGCTTCTCCCCGCTGGACAGCAAGGCTGGGCATTTGGGGTAGGGAGAGGGCAACGGTGATGTTGGAAAGGCCGGAAAGGAGAATACCTTTCCTTGCTTCGTCTGCGTGCTCTTGGGGAGGTCCTCAAAGACAAAAGCAGCAGTCATCTAGGATCTATTCAGCTTTACATGTCTAGGAAGCCCAATGTTGCTGCTTTTGTCTTTGAGCACCCTCCCCAAATGAGGTGCGTGGCCCAAAAGGCCGGTGCCTTTTCTTGGATCTTTTATTCGGCCTTTTGCTGGAGGAACCGGAGAAGCCTGGACGCTCCCGGGGACTGCACTGCCTCTTCCCCAACATGTCGATTTCGGTTCATTTCGTCCCCATCCGGTTCCATCTCTGCAGCTCCGTTCTGTTTTCTGCTTCTGATGTAGGAAGCTGGAAGTGGCGAGCAGACAGAACATCGAGTTCCTGCAGGTCATCGCCAAAAGGGAGGAGTCGATCCACCAGTCCCAGCTGCGCCTGGAGGAGAAGACCCGGGAGTGCGGCTCCCTGGCCCGCCAGCTGGAGATGGCCATCGAGGACGCCAAGAGGCAGGTTGGTGCTTGGCTGGGGTCTGAGCGAGCCTGGGAGACAGCGGTCGATGCAGCCCGCGAGCATCTTTGTTAACTACGGCTCCTAGAATTCCTTGCCATTAGGTATACCAAGTGTGTGTGTGTGTGGGGGGGGGGCTTCTGGGAGTTGAAGTCCGAAAGAAGAGTTCCTTTCTCTGCATAATTTTGCAGTCGGAATGGGGATGGTAGGGGGATTAAATCTAAAATAGAGGATGGTTTGGGCACGGGGTAATGGGACGAAGATGGGGGATACCTGGCTCAGTAAGCGAGAAGGATCTTGGAGCCGTAGGGCAGAAGCTGAATATGAGCCAACAATGTGATAGGGCTAAAAAAAAAAGGCATTAAAAGTATTGTCTCCAAATCTTATGAGGTACTAGTCCCCCTCTATTCAGCAGTGCTCAGGCCTCATCTTGAGTTCCGTGTCCAGTTCTGGACACCCCACTTCAGGAAGGATGCTAACAAATTGGAACGAGTTCAGAGGAAGGTGATAAGGATGATGATCCGGGGACCGGAAACCAAGCCTAATGAGGAAAGGCTGAAAGAACTGGGCCTGTTTAGCCTTGAGAAAAGGAAGACTGACATAGGATACCACTTTTCAAATACTTGAAAGGCTGTTATACAGAGGAGGGGCAGGATCTGTTCTCCATCATCCTAGAGTGCAGGACACGCAGGATTGGGCTCAAGCTATAGGAAGCCAGATTTTGGTTGAGTATCAGGAAAAACTTCCTAACTGTTAGAGCAGTAAGACGGTGGAACCAGTCACCACAGGTGTCACGTGTTCCTTCCCCACACCTCCTGGTTGCCTGCCCCACTCACAAGCCTCCCCACACCACGAAGGTTATCCCCTGTTGGCAGCTGCCCAGTCTGGCAAAGAACTTGGGCTTTCTTTCCCCGCCTCCTCTGGCAGCTGGCCACTCAACAGCTGCACAGGGAGAATCCCTGTCCTGTCTCCTTATCTGAGTGTTTGGCTACCAGAGGAGGCGGGGAAGGGAAGCCTGATCTCTTTCCTGGACTGACAGCTGGTGATGGAGGACGACCTGGATGGCACGCAGAGCCTAACGGGGAGGGCAGGAGTCTAGGAGGTGCGGGGAGGGAATGCACAGTACCTGTGGTGCCGCACAGAGAACTTTGTACGAAGAAGGACAACGCAAGAAAGCATTTAATAAATAAGAATGTATTGGACTGCTTGTCCCATCTCTGTATTCCAGCGGGGAGTAGATCATGACATCCTCCCCCCCAGGTTCTTTATTTGCATGATGTGTGAGCTCCAGAGGACGTGGGGGTGTGATTTTTGGCAGGGGCTTTACCTTGGGGATGGTCTTTCTGCCTGCCTGCAGCTGGAACAAACAAGAGAGCGGGCGGCCGCCAGGGAAAGGACAGCCCAGTCCAGGATCCTGGATTTGGAGACCCAGCTGAGCCGGACAAAAACGGAACTGAATCAGCTGCGGCGGGGCAAGGAGGACGTGAGTGAGACACACACACACACCCTTTCTTCCTCTTGGCCATCGTCTCCTGAATCTCTGGGGTTGGCAAAGGTTGAGATGTTCTCTAAAAAGGCTATTTTAATTGAGAACAAGAAAGCCAAAAGATGCACTTGGGAGGTGCTAGATGTGTTTTATATTTTAGGGTGGCTGAGGAATAGAAGGGAAGAGGGAGTTAGACAAGGGATGTGGAGCTCCGGAGATGTTTTGGGGGTTTTCTTTCTAAAAAAGGATTAGTCCTGCACTTGCAGCTGTACTTTTGGGGGGGTCACACAATGAGCCGCTACTCGTCAGCTAGATGGTGAAGCTGCCTTGTGCTGTTGGGCTCCGCGTGATGTGTCTCGCTTTGCACCCCGTCCTGCAGGCTGAACGTCGTTACGAGAGCCGCCTCCAGGACCTGAAGGACCGGCTGGAACAATCCGAGAGCACCAACCGCAGCATGCACAACTACGTCCAGTTTCTCAAGTCCTCGTACGCCAACGTCTTTGGAGACAGTGCCTTAACGAGTTCCCCCATCCGTCCTCGGTCTCCCCTGTGACCCCGTCTTTCTCCCTTTAACATCCAGGTCCGCTCTGATCACCAGCTCAGTTTGGTGGCCCTTTCAAAGCCATATCCGATTTCAGAAGTGGGGAGGCCTCCACCCTCTGTTTAGATTAGCAAACACCACTTCCCCTTGGAGAGTTGGGGTGTCAGGTCATGCTGTGGATGTGAAGCTGGCATATGTGGGGGACATGATCTTCTCCATCTCCCCTTAGTGCCTTACCAAGGTTGCACCTTTTGCGTGTAACTGATGGGGTTTTAATTTTTTTTTTTAAGAAAAAGATTTGTAAATTCTTTTGTCAGTTTCTCAGAGCTCAAAGATCATGTTTACCCGATGCAGAGCTAAGTGGGATTTTTAATCAGATGGCGGAAGGGTGTTTGCTAGCAATGCTCCATAAGGTCCCTTCCCTTGCCCTATATTTGTTCCAGCTGTTCTAGGAAGTTGTGATCTGCTCCAATAGAGAATAGCAGCAAGAGATGGAGGAAAAATCCTTTCACAGAATCCCTTTTGAAGAAATGTTCTCTCGCACTGGCTATTCTATGGTAAAGAATTTCCAGGTTCCACAGCAATAGATTCACATTTTTCTTTTCATTCACTCTTTCTGTACACTTGACTTGCGTTCCGAGCATTTGTCAAATACACATAATAGTTTTACTTTCAGTTGGGGTGTCTATGTGACTACTATGTTGTGTAGCTCCTCCATCTGAGCAGCACATTCTGATCTACACCATCCGTGGGAGGTGACCATTTTGCTCTAAAGAAGCTGTTAAAACAGCCCATAACTCTTGACTTTTGAGCTTGTGCAAAACCAGATTTCTCATGGAGAACATAAAAGTAACACTTCTGTCTTCCAGGTATTTATCTTTATATCACTTTCTCTTCCTGAATAAGTGGTGGTGGTGGTGCAGGAGATAGCCAACTGGGTTGCTGTTTTGAGATTTTATTATTTATATATGAACTGGGTTTTTTAATGCATTACAGTGTGATTTTTTTACAAATTGGAAAGGTGCTATGATAAAGGTTTGGTTTCTTTACTACAGCAGTTTTAATGGTCTTTATTTGTGGGCTTGCTCCATTTTAAACACACTCCTCACACCTCAAAAGCAACAAAGGCATTGTAGAGGCATACCTCGTTTTATGAATTTAATGCGTTCTATGGGATGTTACATAATGCGGAAAATTTGTAAACTGAAACCTGGATTGTCGTAGGGACGGGGGTGGTGCTACAAATCTCCAGCCACAGTGTATCCTGGGGAAACTTTCTTTCCAGGCACAATGCATCCTGGGGAAAACTTTCTTCGTACTCCGGAAAAAAACGGGGAAAAACTCTGTAAAATGAGGCATTATTTTAATGGATTTTGCTTCATAAACCGAAAATTACGTTAACCGAGGCGTTTGTAAACCACTGTACGTCTTATAAATTCAAAATATTACATACACAAACAGCTCAGTGGATCCTGCATGTACACAGTTCAAGATACAGTTGAGAGTATTAGTGTCTTAACTGCACTTGTCTGATATTCAATGGATTTTGCTTCGTAAACCGAAAAGTACTTTAACCGAAGCGTTTGTAAACCACTGTATGTCTTATAAATTCAAAATATTACATATACACATAGAGCTCAGTGGGTCCTGCATGTCGTTTCGTTTAGTTGTTTAGTCGTGTCCGACTCTTCGCGACCCCATGGACCAGAGCACGCCAGGCCCTCCTATCTTCTACTGCCTCCCGGAGTTTGGTCAAATTCATGTTGGTTGCTTCGCAGACACTGTCCAGCCATCTCATCCTTGGTCGTCCCCTTCTCCTCTTGCCATCACACTTTCCCAGCATCAGGGTCTTTTCCAGGGAGTCTTCTCTTCCCATGAGATGGCCAAAGTACTGGAGCCTCAGCTTCAGGATCTCTCCTTCCAGTGAGCACTCAGGGTTGATTTCCTTCAGAACGGATAGGCTTGTTCTCCTTGCAGTCCAGGGGATTCTCAAGAGCCTCCTCCAGCACCACAATTCAAAAGCATCAATTCTTTGGCGATCAGCCTTCTAAGAGTAATTTTTCTGATCTGCACTGGTGGCAAATGGCATCAAATATATAAAGCCTTGAATCAGTCTGCAAAGCTTTTCAGATGTAACTTCTCCATCCTATACAACTTTTTCCTTTTATTAAACCCTCAGATGGTTTATTTGCTTAAAGATCTCACGGAGCAGAATCTGTTCTGTGAGATCCTCTACCAGCCCATGCAAGCTTACATCGAATAAAAGGTAAGAGTATTTAAGGTGCCATGGAGGCTGCAATCGATGAGAAGATCGCTGTCCTGCGGGAAATAATATTTTGCAAAAAAAGATCCTCAGGTAAGAGTATTTAAGGTGCCATGGAGGCTGCAATCGATGAGAAGATCGATGTCCTGCTGGAAATAATATTTTGCTAAAAAGATCCTCTTTCACTTTAGCAAAAGATAGTTTTGTAGAATAATCGAGTTGGACGGGAGCTGTGATCTTTCCAAATGGGATCACGTTTTTAATAGAATTAGCTATGGCACATGAAACCTACAGGCAAATAAACCATAATAAAAGGTTCATAATAAAAGGTGGGAGGGGATGATGGTTCCAAGTCACCGTGAACCAGGATGGCCAAGGCGATGTCGGAAGTAGAGAGGGACCGTTTTCCTGATCCCATAGGAATGGTTGGATGGCAGGTTTTTTTAAAAAATGCTGGTTGGAACTCATCTTTCATCAGCATTCCCTGCAGGCAGGCACGTCTATAAATTTGCAGCTCTGCGAAGTTCTATTTCAAAGCATAGAGCAAAAATATAGAGTGGTTTCTCGACGACGGAGGAGGCGACTTCCGGGCTCAAGCGGGAAGGCTTTCAATTCCCCACCCCCTTCCCCCAATAGGGCCCCTCAATTACGACAAACACGCCCCGTCGAGAAGCTTTGGTACTACAACTCCCATGATCCCCGACTACAGCTGCCATGACCACCTCTACCCCTCACTATGACGCCTCTCCGGGGAGCTGAAACGAGGCGGAGGGACGCCCCCGTCCCAGGAGGCG